TAGCTCAGTGGTAAAGAATCCTTGGGTTCAATCCCCAGTACCAAAATAACAATAATGATGATAAGAATTTTGTTGACATTATGAAATTGGTAAAATAAAGAGAATGAAATTCAAACACCATAGAAAGGCATGAATTGAAAACTGTCTTTTAATTCACTTCCCAAGCATCTTTCCCACTGCCTAAGGATGAGCCTCTTAACAGCCAATGCGTTTTGAGTTACCTCAATTCTAAATAATGCAGGCATACTTCATACCTTGATTCTTCGAATTGTACTAATGATTTTTTGGGAGAGGATACCCGGCTCCCCACCTTATTTCTACTTTTTAATCTATCTCTGGTGAATAACTTCTATTTACCACCTATGAATTTTTAATAGAAGTCTGATAACTTCTTTATTTTTATTTTAGTTGTAGATGGACAGACACRATACCTTGATTTATTTAGTCTATTTAGTGCCTGAGGATTGAACCCAGAGCCTCACACAAGCCAGGCAGGCGCTCTACCACTGAGCCACAACCCCAGYCTCAATTTCCTTTTGGATATGTCTGCACTGCTTTGGCTTTTCTGCTAATATTCATTTTGCTGAAAGGAAAAACAGTTTGTTCAACATCAAGATCATCATTCTTTCAGCACTTGCTAGAAAGCCCCAAGGCAGACACTCAAACCTTCTTACTCAGGGAAGGATGACTTCTCTAAATGAAAGGATCCCTTTTGCTGGGCATCAAAGGCAGACCAGCTGGACTAACAGATGGCGGGCATGCAGAACATGAGGGCAGAGGGCAGGGGGAGCCTAGGGTGCATGTACCTTGGAGAAAGTATTTAAAACAAACAAAATAACAACAAACCTTATCTGGAGAACATTGTAAAAACCAAAAGCTAGAATGCCAAAATTGGAAGAGATTGAGTCAAGCCATTTAATGGTTTCAATTCTGGCCCATTCTGGTTGGAGACAATAAATGGCTCCCAGGCTTGCTAACAGTGTACTTTAAGTAGAGGGAATAAATTCCTTTTTGTATCACCTTTTTTAAAAAAATATTTATTTATTTAGTTTTCGGCAGACACAACATCTTTGTTTGTATGTGGTGCTGAGGATCGAACCCGGGCCACACGCATGCCAGGTGAGCGAGCTACTTACTGCTTGAGCCACATCCCCAGCCCTCACCTTTTTTTTTTTTTTTTTAAGTTTCAAGAAATTGCGGGCTGTCTGACACAATTTTTTCTGGATACCTTTTGTGGTTATGTGCCCTCTCCTCAACATGTTATGCATGTCTTTTAAAAAACAAAGTGCTTGGGGCTGGGGTTGTGGCTCAGAGGTAGAGCTTGAGGGTTAAATCCTCAGCACCACATAAATGTAAAATAAAGATATTGTGCAARCCTACAACTAAAATATAAATTTTTWAAAAAGTGCTTGATATACCAGCATCAATTTCTTCAGATAATTTCTTCATAATTGGGATAGAGGTCTGAGTATTAGAATGTCAAAATGTTATTTTGTAAAGAACCTTTTTTTTTTGAGGGACAGGGTACGGAGGATTGAACCCAGGGGCACTTTACCACTGAGGTATACCCCAGCCCTTTAATTTGAGACAGAGGTCTCACTAAATTGTCAGGGCTGGCCTTGAACTTGCAATCTCCTATCTCAGCCTCCCAAGTTGCTGGGGATACAGTTAGGATGACAGGAGTGCACCTCTGCACCAGGAAGAACTTCATTTTGACAAAAGTCATAAAAACTAAAAAAGAAAAAAAAATACTCTTTCCTAATATTTTCCTTACTGAAAYCTCTATTTTCAAAATGTGTGCAGCAGTTCTCATGATAAAGGTGACCTGACTGGCCTGTCCTTAGTGTCCAGCCACTGAAGTACCTCACCAGCCTGTGCACCCATCCCCATGCAACTCCATGTGGCCCTAAAGCAGGGCTAAGCTGTGGCCCCACACTGCAGGCGCTGTCCTGTGCCTCGCAGGCCACTCAGCTACCTCATGATTTCCACCACCAGATTCACTGTCTCACTCTCAAGTTGTGGCAACCAAATCAGGATCTCCTGACATTGCCAGCTGTTCCCTGGGGAGTCGCCACCCCTATGGGAAACACTGTCTTAAGCTATTCTAGGAAACAACTCTGTAACTCCCTAACATTCTGTGGTGACAGTGTTCTATAACTTAGTGATATGGTGGTGATAGCCACATGATGCTATTAGTACCTGAAACATGGCAGCATGAGGAATAAAATTCCTGATTTCATTTTAAGTTATTTAAACCCTACAAAAATACTTCTTTTGAATACCTTTTTTAAAAATCAGATGTGGCTGACTGGCAATTAAACCTGGGGCGGGGGGGGGGG